CAATACTAAGGATAGCATATAATTCTTGTATTTTACAGAAAAGCAAGTTTCAAACTTTGAAGAAAGGTCTTAGGGTCAAATGTCGGAGGGATATTCGAGGGATTTAACTGTTTAAACATTAAAACGCAAAATATAAGACTTCAATTAATTGTATTATTTATTTTAACTATGACCCAACATTTCAGATGCTTTGCAGCAGCTCTGGTAAAAGGCAAATTAAAAATAAGTAAACTAATATATTTCGAGTTATAAACCGTCACAAGCGTTTTATATAAAAGTGACGTAAACTACAGCAATACCTAGGTAGTCTTTACGTACTTGTCCTTTAATGAGCTATAACGACGGACGCTTAAATATGTCCGACGCCGTATATTAGCTATAATGTATGTTGCAATGTCCTTGAATATAACGGCCAATTAGTTTAAAAATAGACATTTTAATGTCTAACGGTTAAAAGCAACTTTTCATTATGCACCCCATTCTGAACTTGACTCCCCTTTCCGTGTCTATTCTAAGGAAACCTTGACTTTATGAGTCTTCAAACACAATGTCGCTACCCACCTGACTATATTTTAAATAAAAGTAACTTTATAGTTAATATTTAAAAACTGCGATTAAAACTGGTAATATAACATATATTGTAATATATTTTTTATGAAAGAGGAAGACAAATATGCAAGAAGAAGAATATAAATAAGATGTGCTGTTAACCTATTTTAGCTTTCGATATTCGTAATCTCTATAGAAATTAAAAGAAACCATGTCTTTCAATAATGAAAATTAAAATGTACATTTATTTAAAAGTTTTATGACACTGCCAAAATACGATGCCACAGCCACCAGACTCCGAGCAGTTTACAACTTGAGCTACCGTATTTCGCACTTTGAAGCTATGGTCAAGCTATGATGCGAATAATTATATTATATTAGGCTGCTAGAGACAGAGTGGCCTAATAACAAAAAAACATGATTTTCAAATACAAATGCACAATTAACATAGGCGAAAATGAATTTGTACTATTGTTTGCGTTAAAATTATTATAACAATGTTTCGGTCTTGAAGTTATCATGTTTAGACTAAAATAAAAATAACTCAAGGCAGGATAATTGCAGTTAGGCTATTCTGCTTCTAGCGGTCTCATTTCACTTTTTGCATTGCGTGGACTTACATCATTAAAACAATGAATTTTAATTTACTATGAAACATAGCGACAATTAGTCATAGCGTTTTTCATAGAGCATTAATGCACACATTTTTCCCCCCTGACTCACGACTGTAGAAAATTAAATTCTCTTCATTATTGACTCACGATTTCGCAAATAACTTTATTGTGTTACCATACAGTTACTGATTTTATATTATAGTTTAATTTATAATGGAATCCTAAATTTCGAGTATTTCTGTTATCTTTGACATTACATATTAGGTATCGTGCTTTATTTTGTAATTATATTATAATACTAGCTGTGTCAGCGACTTCGTCCGCGTACTTAGAATATTTATTTTGGGCATCTATTTCATCATCATATTTGTGTTTTCTTTATAGCGGTTACCCATGACGTCGGTCGTGTCCCGTCGTTCTTGTCATGTCATCTCATCTCATCATGTCGCGGCATTTTTCATATTTGTGTACAATAAAACTTTGTATTTTACCAAGTAAACACGACTAAACTTACTTTCGAACTGATAATTAAAGCAATTCGAGAAACATATTTTTTACATTTCAAATAATAAAAGTGTTAAATATTCAACTTTTCGCTTCTACGACACGGCTATTTGCTATAGAAAACAGAGTACATTTTTGCGGAAACGAAAGAGCAAGCGTTTTGTCTTAAAACACTATAAATAAAAAAATAGTTGACTAGATTGAAAATGAAACAAAGCCATATATATGCATGTAATTATAATGTGTTGTCGATTTATTTTAGCTTCAAACGTTCCGGCGTTGCCGACGGTGTTTCGTTATTGACTGTCCAAATTTTCCACATGATGTGCCTGACACGTTTATCAGAAAATTCATTACAAATATGCTTGACAAGATGGGAATCGAATCAACGACCCGTTTGTATATACCAAGTCATCAACTGTCGATATTATAATTAATTACTCAAGTAATCTTATTTATACGACAAAGGAATGGATTTTTAACGATTAACCGGATTAAACACTGTCGATTTCTAAATTTAATGCGCAATAGTCTGCCTAAACATATTAAAATCTATATCTATACTAATAATGTACAAAGCTGAAGAGTGTTTGTTTGTTTGATCGCGCTAATCTCTGGAAAAACTAGTTCGAATCGAAAAATTATATATATTTTGTGTCGGTTAGAGCAGTTATCGAGGAAGGCTATAGACATAAAACATCACGCTGCGACTAATATAATGCGAAAGAAAAACGGCGGAAATTTTTCATTTTTGTGGGTTTCCGTTGTGCACGCTGCGAAAACTGTTCAAGATACACAAACAATATGTATGCAAGAACGTTATACCTCTTTAAATGATCTAAACAAATGTTCGTGACGGTATATGTACCTATCTTTTAAGATTAACTTGGAAGAACGACGGGATCCGTCCCGTGGGTAACAGCTTTAATTTAGAAAGGAGCATAACAAATTTTGATACCCAAAATAACTATACTACGCGGACGAAGTCGCTGACACAGCTAGTATATTAATATTATTATCAATTAGCAACAATATCTTATCAAATAACGTATTCTGTCTTTATCACCGATGTTCCTCTGGCATTTTAATAATTATTGATCGATATAATTAATTTAATGTTGTGAGTTGTTATCTTATTTATCGTTTTACAAATGCGTTTAAACTTCCATACTGTAAAGAGCGATGAATCATTTTAAACTTCTGTTTAATTTTTACAAAAGATATAAAAGGGCATGGTTATTAAAGAAAATGTGGTGTTGGCTTTTTAAGGTATAAATAATTATGTATTTTAGATTGGTTGTTGTCTTATTGTTAATATCAAATGTAGTTTTGATCAACTACATTTGATATTAACAACTAGCTAAATTAAACATTTCTATGTACTATCATGTTCGTACACCAATTTTCTTATATTTAACTATTTGCGTTTTTTTTGAAGCGCTGAATCATGGCTTTACCTTTTTCTGACTTATGTGGGTAGTTTTTTTAAATATGTAGGTCGGAACACGTCGACAGAGATAGAACAATGACAAGTATTTATTATGTTGCCTACACTATATTGGGAAGTGTAGACAGGCTGGCACCGTAACGTGTAACGTAACGATGCTATTTAATATTTCATAAGGACTATTTTTAAATTTAAATCAGTATAAGAAATAGTTAAACAACCGATTCATACTTTTTGATGAAATAGCGTGCCGGTATAACGGTTGTTAATAATATTAATTTTGTTTGTGCCATATTCTGACAGTGTAATACTAAAATTGTTATTCAATACAATTCAATGAGAAGCCAGCCTTGATCAGTCAACGAGTATTGAAAAAGAGTTGTACCAGATCTTCTCGAGAACTAAGGCCAACTGCCAAGCACTTCTGGGAAACACAATTTTCTATTTCTGAAGATCAACGAATTTAAAACTACAAATCACGTGGAGTTGAAGAATTTTACATAAAAATAATGATGAAACGAAAACGAAATGCTAAAAGCAAAACTACGGAGTAAGATATCGATATCGTCATAGTTATCGATCAATCTATACTAATAGTATAAAGCTGAAGAGTTTGTTTGTTTGAACGCGCTAATCTCAGGAACTACTGGTTCGAATTGAATTAATATATTTGTGTAAACTATAAAAAAGAAATCAAGCTACGTTCAATAGGAGCGAAGAAGCACAGGGAAATGTGGAAAGTTATTCATCTCTGAGGGTTTCCATTGCGTGCGGTGCAAGAACGGTTAAAGAAACCAAAGAATATGTATAAAATAATAATTCTTCTTTCATTGATGTAAAAAAATCCATGACAGTATAAAGTCTATATTTTATGATTAACTCGCAAGAACGACGAGACGTGGACGACATCGTGACTAACATCTGTCATTAATTATAAAGTAAAAGAAGATGTTGTTCACAAAAATAAATAATATGATACCCATAATAAACTATACCACGCGGAAAGTCACGGGTGCAGCTAGTCAAACAAATAAAGTCTATTTATTATCTAATTTTGCTTCTAACTTCTTTTTACTCGTTATAAAATAGCTACACAAATTGAATAACGTCTATAGTTTAAGCGTAGAATTAAACATTTAAACAAAAGAGAGCAGCAGAGCATCCGAAACGTGCCTTTGCTAAAATGAATTCCAAATAAGTGTAACTAATATATATCGCGTTTAAAACCGTAAGAAGGTTTTTTTTACAGGTTATTCAAGTTTTTAATGAAGTTAAAGGCGTTTTAGAACTAAAAGATAAATAACGAAAAAGTGTATATGCAACTGTTAAAAAAATTAGTTTTGTGGCTCTCATTTTTATGTTCTTTTTTTATATTGTAATGTTTTGTTAATTGATTTAATGTAATAATTTTCTAGTACTTCTTATTTTAAATGTCAAACGCAGGACACTGAGTATCGGAGCTGTGCCTACTTGCATTACAACAAAAGCTGAAGGGTTATGAGGCGAACACATTTCTGGCAAGTGATCCGACTTCAGTGCCCTGCCCGGCCGAAACAGTTGTTTGTTTCCCTGGGATTAGAACACAGGGCCCCTCGCGCATAACGCAATCCCAGGCAATAACCAATTGGCTACAGAGGCAGTCAACAGTCGGTCCCTCCACATACATCTATATATATATATATATATTTTATGTTTTTTGTGTGAATAATTTCATTCGATTTGAACGGACATCTAACCGGCACTGCCGATCAATAAGTTCCGGACGCCAGACCGCAAGTGACGCGACCGGTCCGGCGCAACAAACAGTCCGTCCACGCCAGTCCGTCTAACCGAGTCGACTCCACCGGACGTATCGCCGGTTTTCTGAGTACCTTCGTTCTTATAAAATGAGTGCTATCGATATAGAGCTGTTGATACGTTTGGTTGAGAAAAAGCCCGTGCTATGGGACAAAACTCAAGTGTACTACAAGAACCGGCAGCCGTGCTTCACCGCTTGGAGGGAAATATGCCTTGAGTTAAATAAAAACTTTGAAACGCTGTCCGAGAGGGAAAAAAACAATTTTGGTTGGTAATGTTTCAATTTGTATAGAGATTGATTAGTAGAGGCAACTAGATCTAGTACTTAATAAAGGTTTGGGCGATGCACACGTGCCTCAAGCAGACGAAAGCTTGGTGCCGGAGGAGTACCCCCCCCCCCCCTCGTCTCCGTGACCATATCTAGCGGTAGTGTGCGTATCGACATGCCTGCCGCGACCGAGTCGCCCTTACTCGTCCTAAGTGGAACTTTTATAAGCGGACTATATTTTATTATATTACTCTTTTTGTCAGTTGACTGGAGCTTACTGTTCCTTATGAAGGACGTAGATGAGTCAGTAGATTACTTCTATAGAGTCATCTATGAAAAAAATTTCATACTCACTCAACTTTCGCTATAAACCGAAACCACACTTTGTACTACGAAAAGTTGAAAAAACTAAACAGTGGAAGATTGCACAGTATCTGGAATGGTCCTCGAGGGAAATAAACAAAATTAAAATGAAGGCCATCTTACATAAAAAATATAAGAAAACTCAGTTAGAGATAGATTATGTAGGATTTGCTCGGTATCTTAAACTTGGTAAAAAAACATATTAAACAAGGTCTATAGTTTACGCGAGTAGTACACATTGCAATAAAACACTTTAACGGTTTAAAACGCGATATATTAGTGAAACTTATTTGTAAATGATTTTTCACTTCGGCTTGACGTTTCGGATGCTTTGCAGCAGCCGTGATCACGGGGCGACTGAAGATCTAAATAAAGTCTCCCCGTGACTACGGCCATATATCGCGTTTTAAACTGTTAAAGTGTTTTATTTAAATACTAAACAAGGGTATACAATGTGTATGTTAATATAAATTTTTATATATATTTGGAAGCATATTAATATCAGGAAGGGTACTTACTAAATCTATGGAAATGACAGTACATGGGAAAACATGCTGGCTTCAAAAAAAGTCTTTACCCACTGCCTCTGCAATGCGATCAATGAAACAAATATATTATGTCTACCATGCCATACATAGGGGAAATGAGCCTAAAACCTTTAATTTTGCAAGATGCACCCATGATGAACACCTGTAACTAAAAGTGTCTAACATTTTTTATTTTTTAGGAAGGGATATTATAAAAAGATGGAACAATGCAAGAGATAGCTGGATGAAATATCACAAGAAAATTAAAGGATACAGTCCTGGTGCAAAAAAACAACGAAAATATAAATTCTACGATCAAATGCTCTTTTTGAGAAAAATCTTCGTTCGCCGAAAGACGGAGGAGATCAAATCACAAAAAACTAGAAAAATTAACTTAAATAAAAAAAAAGAACAATCTGACACTGAAGAAAGTGACTCTCAAATTGGTAATGAACTTAGCACACTAGAGAATACTAACGACGAGAACGAAAGAATCATGAGAGTGACAGACTGTAACGAAAGTGATCGACTCCCCACAGTCACATCTGTAGAAGATATGAGTAAGAGTATGTGTTTTTTCAGAAGCATTGCTCCCATTGTGGAAAAATATAACGACGATGATTATATAGAATTTCAATATGAAGTCGTTAAAGTTATGAAGAACTTAAGCCGAAGAAATCAGGAGGAATTTATTGATCAAGCTTCATTCGAGAACACGGTAGATGAAAATCGGACAACAGATCCTATTCCATTCACTCCCAGCATATGTCCACAAAAAGTAGAGCCACAGGAACTGCTGCAAGAAGATGAAGAAGGTTTAAACTAAGAAATTTTTCACATGGTATTATTATGAGATATGAAAAATATAACATCAATTATAAGATCAGTCGACTAGGTAATATTGTTATTTGTGGTTCGAGACCCTTGTGTATCATATGTATATTTTTAAGGTGTAAAATAAATTTTAAAATCACAATTAGTTTTCACTTCTTTTTCTTCTACTCTCTCTCTTTCTTTATCTTCTTTAGTTCGTCAACCGGTAAAAAAACGGACGTCTACAGTCTCCATTAGTTTTCAATACGATATAAATACCGACTTGTGATAAAGTGGAAAATTACCGCAAAACTAAACGCTTCAACAATCCTTATTAATAATTTGCCCTGCCGTCGCCATACGCCTTGTTCAATTAATTTATTCAAATTTATTTGGTAAACGAATCGCTTATTACCTAATGAGAACAAGCTAATAGCTACGTGGTAAAGTTATCAATATATGGAGCGAATTGGAAAATTAAAAGCTGAATAAAGATAATTATAGTCTGAGAATTATTCTGTCAAACATTGTTTTGTTGTTTGCAATATTAATATTATTGATGTTCTCACAAATAATTGGATATAGTGCATTTCGACCAAATTTGATTACTATAAGGACAGTTCTCGCCAGTTATTCTTAAAAGATAGACATGCTAAGATGAGAATAAACAAACATGGTGGTACACTTGGTGGTAGATGAAATACCTTAGTTAAATAATATCGAAACAAGATTCTCCGTCACCTATTTTAGCTTTGGATATTCGGAAACCGAAAAACGGACACCGCAACCGGATTAAACTTCACGACTTTTTTTATCTGTGAACGGTTGTTCGTGACCTGGACGATATTTCGATATTCCTACTATCAAAGCCAGCTACTTATCTATAAATTAAATGTAGATGGGGAACGGACAGAATAATATGTTCGCCCCATACCCCACATTAGAAGATGGGGGAAGATACAATGGGACATTAACGATGTTTGTTTGAGCTGTGTATTGAAAGCTTATGCAATCAATGCTAAATGCTAATATCGGTCGCACTTCATTCCTATTTATAGGATTCAATAGATTACAACTAAATATAATAACGATTAAAGTAGCAAATAGAAATAATAAATTCACTCGATTTAATTATGATATGGCAACAATTTATGGCAAAATTATTGGAACAGAGTAAATTAAACACAGATACTAAACATTAACAGATGTCGTCTGCAATACATGCTTATGTATGTCTCCCCGTGACCACGGTTGCTGCAAAGCATCCGAAACGTCGCGTCGGGCCGAAGTTAATAATCATTTTCAAATAAGTTTTACTTATATATTGCGTTTTAACCGTTTAAATAAAGTATATTATTTAAATGTGTACTACTAGTTAACTATAGACAGACATTGTTTATACTATAAAAATTAACATACAATAATGGAAATAAATCTGATATTTAAAAAAAAGAACGAAGATGAAAAATCTAACACATTATGTTATCGAACCCAAGATACAAGATTACTTAAAGTACGTTACGTAAATAGTTGCAACTGGTGTAAACTCGTATTTAATCAACTGTAATTTTAAATTTTCTTACAGAAGTTTCTTGAAATCCAAGTAAGAACATTAGTCTCATGTGTACTCGAATGCACGTGACTTGTATGTGTAATAAACATCACTCGATCACTCATTATCAATGTGAAACACAACTAAACACTATACTTGGGGCTAGAATAGCATTGTTTATTGATCTAAACAGATATTTACCTTACATGACCTCAGATGTTTAATGACATAAATATTCGCATTTGACGAGCTCCCTGGTGTAATGGTAGCAACGTGTGGCTTATAATGGCGTGGGATGGAGCCCCACGGGCAATATGTTCCTAATCTAATTATAATTTTTCTGAAACATTATATCTAAAGTTTTCGCGTGTAGTACACATTTAAATAAAACACTCTAACGGTTTAAAACGCGATATATATTCGTTAAACTTATTTGAACATTATTTTAACTACGGCCAAGACGTGTCTCCCCGTGACCACGGCTGCTGCAAGCATCCGAAACGTCGGGCCGAGTTAAGATATTTTAAAGGAAGTTTAACTAATAATCTTTTTAAACCGTTAAAGGTTTTAATGTTTATACTCGCGTAACTATAGACAGTTTAATATATATCGTGTTTTAAACCGTTAAAGTGTTTTATTTAAATTTCTGAAACATGTTGGACTTCATCTAGAAACCTGGATATTTACCATTTGTTTAGATATTATATGTTTGTCCTCTTCTTTCTTAAAAGTAGAATATCCTCTATCAAAAAAGTTTTGGAAACGTAATTCACAAGGTCAAAAAATTTTATTAAGAAAAAAAGACCAAGGGTGAGACGATCTGGTGCACGAAGGGTTTAGTACAATAGCCTTGGTACCCAATTTGATATTGTAACGTTTTTTCGAAGTGATTTGACGTGACCTTCTTTCTGCTAACATTTATTGATATCAAGTAAAATTTGCGAAAAAGTGGCTATTTTGTATAAGACCCCTTCAAAAGCCCCCCAAACTTATTTACGCCTAATAAAGCTCTTCCCAGATTTTTATAGGTATTTAATTTCTATACAACTCTTTTGATGATTCAAAACTATTCTTAGAATGGGAAAGGTAGAAATAGACCCACGTTTAGTAAGGCACACGAATCTAGTAAAAAAGGAAACTAGCCTATATTTGAATCTAATTTTCACTTATGTAAAATTTTATTCAATTATAGGCTAGTTCATTGTATTGTTTTTAATACGTCCCTAAAACGTATTGTCATTCATAATAATACTTTTTCGTATAACTACAGTAATGCAAATTTTTATTGTATTCAAATATGAAACAATTTATTCCGCGACATTCCTGACGAGAATGAGTCATTGCTGATATTAACAAATAGACTGAATGAACGTATTTATTAATTTGTTTGTCTGTTTGCACAGCTGCGAGGACAGAAATTGTGACTAGCGAAAAGAATTTGCAGATCACTTTGACACGAAGAGTTGGGTTTTAACTTATTATGTTATGCAATGATATTAAACATTTCCCTGTTTTAAATACTAAATATATTTCTTCGTAACACTATCTTAGGGTCGCAGATAAACAAGGGATTGACATAAATTTAAAATCTAATTGAATTGAAAAGAAATTACGACATGAGTTGGACTCGAACCGGCATCCAAATCGTCCCGTGCTGCTACTCTAACCAATTGAGTTCGTTTCGTTAATATTATTAATTTATACAGTTTACAATTTCCACAAATCTTTTAAGCCAGCATGTGTTTAAGAAGACATACCGACCTCCTTCGAATTTTGTTGATTTCCTCACGGTGTTTTCCTCAATTAATCCGTTGTTTAAAACTTTTCTAAGTCAGTCAATTTTTCGTAGTAGAGTTTAGCACAAAAATGTGACATCTCGTTTTTCGAGTGGTGCATGGGGCAGACAAATTCCCGTGTTAGTTTCACCTGCCTATTTTATTTATCGTCACTACATAGTATAAAACAAAGTCGCTTTTTCTGTCCCTATATACATACGCTTAAGTCTTTAAAACTACGCAACGGATTTTGGGGCGGTTTTTTTTATAGATAAGTGATTCAAGAGTAAGGTTTTTATATACAACGATCACAGTTTTTCTGTTGTATTGAGTATCAGCATTGCACCAGAGCGAAGACGGGGCGGGTAGCTAGTCGATTATATAATTTTATTTTGATATGACTTCTGCCCTCAGCTTATTTGAAACGGGATTCGAACCTAGGACCTCTCAAGTTTGATAACGCTATAATACAATTTGTGTTTATTGTACTATGTGGGTCAATTATTTTTCTGCAGTAACTAAATAGTATATTGTTAATATTGAGGACAGTGGGTACAGGTGTATTCCGTTTAATTGAAAACATTGTGTGGTCTTATGCCCTGAATTGAATACATTTATAACTCTTGTTTTACAATGACTTCAATTTTGAAGAATTTTTCACATTGTTCACAGACGGCGAATAAACACGAAATAATAAATGCTATCAAAACTGCGGGTTCCAAAAACAGCATACCAGCAAATGCGAAGACACCGTTAGTCTATTCTGCAACCCGGCCAGTTTCGCCAAATACCAACTACGACGGAAAAGATGGCGCTAGCGTAGCAGTTCTTACTTTGACGTCAGAGACACCGTCTATATTTAATTCCCCCGTGACCAAAGCTCCTGTAAAGCATTCGAAGCGTCGGGTCGTAGTAGCTCAATTGGTAGAGCAACAGCACAGAACGGAAGACGATGCCGGTTCAAGTCCTGCCCGAGTCGAAAAAATTTTTCAATTTATTTTCAATTTTTAAATCAAAATATTTAATTCCTTATAATATAAGATAAAATAAAAAATATTTTTTTATCTTATAATCAAACACGATGAGACGAAGCAGCTCGCATGAACTAGTATTATTAGCCAACATAGATCTTATTAGTAGTGGTGTGTTTATAGACTTGTTTGTTCGAACACGGTCACGTTTTTTCTTATAAGCTGAATTACAGATTGTAAACTCTCCGAGAACCTTGAAATATATAAGCCTAGAGATCTGATCAAAGATCTAAAAGAGAATTAATTATGTATTAGAGAATGAAAATATGTGCTAGCTCAGATGTGCTAAAAGCAACAATGTGGTAGTGGGGTTTGAGTCCCACCCGTGCCATAGGATTTCTTCAATCTTAATTTGTAATTTTAATTAATATAGAGCATGCGCAATAATCTATATTAATGTTAAATAAAATAAAAAAAGTATAGATATACTGAAATAACTTTAAACACATTTCTTTGTCCGTTTCACTGACTGACCTTATGTTTAGTAAAGTCTTTTGAGAAGATCACACTTTATGATCCGCCTAACCAAAAACAGATGAATGTTGATCCGGAATTCGAACCCAGGACGTCTTGCACGTTACGTTTTGCTAGGTAACACGCTTAACCATATAGCTACGGTGGGTATAAAAGCTAAATGAAGCAAATAATAAATGAT